GAAGGAGAGTGAAGAAGAAAGGAAGATTGGGCAGATAAAAGAGAAGCCAGAAACCGAGGAACGAACCTGAGCCGTTGGATGTCATTGGAGAAAATCCACGTCATCATTTTTAATTAATTGTTCTTTTTGGGAAATGGAAGCTTAGGATCCTCTCAATGCTCCAATGACTGCGATCAGTTCCTGTGAGTTTCAGTAACCAATGAAACATTTCCAGGTGGAGTAGCAGTACTATTATTTTAACCCTTCAGGGACAGGCAGAGAGGTTTCCATGGTGTAAGGCTGTAAGCTGTCCTGAGTCTCTTTACATGAGATATAAAGTAATTTTGTTATACAATAAAATAAGAATTAACACGTCTTAATATTAAATATAACAAGAAAATAGTAATTATTTACTTTAATTCTTAAAAATTAAAAGAAATGTTATTTTAAAATTGAGGCATTTTAATAAATATCTATTAAAAAAATTAAAATATCATATTTTTAAAACTTGAATTATGATATTTTTTTATTATTTTTTTTAATTTTTTGAAAGTAAAATGAACAAATACTAATCTTGTATAATAAAATATTTTGTGATTTTTATATATACATATTTATTAATTATAATTAAATATCTTACATTTAACTAAGGTGTATCTTCTAATTCTAGGTTTGAGGTTCACATAAAAAAATTAAATGCTTTGATATTTTTATGTATTTTTAAATTTGTTTTTATACTTTTTTTTTAATATATGTAGAGATTATTATTAAACTTTAAATATGTAATTAATAGTATAGAGAACTTTATAAATAAAAGCACATAATTGATTGTAATTTAGTCTTCATACTTGATCCATGCTTGGAACATCCATAACTTAGTTGGTATGGTGGTTATGAGTCTGATTAATATATATATTGAAGTTTATCCTTCAGATTCTAAGTGGACGATGAAGAAAGGTATTTCAGTACGTAAAAGGGTTTGATTTAATTTAAAAAGTTAAAAGGAATCCACAGTGGAAAACCTGAAATCCAGCTTGAAGACCAGTGCCAGAGTCGATCTGGGTGGGTACACTGAGTCATGAATTTGCAGCACTTTGCACGGACCGTGTGCAGCAATTCTGGTGAGTGGTGAGGATTGGCAGACGTCGCTCAGCCCCTGGTCTGACCTCTGGTTGCCTTGTACTACTAAATATCACAAAATTTCAAGTGGTCCCCTAATTATTATTTTCCTGCACATGCAGAGTCTTTTATAAAAGTATCAATTATGACTATCAACAATAATGTTATAGTTATTACAATTGTAAAATATTATTTTTAAAATATTAATATTATTTATTTTAATTAATAAAATTAATTAATTAATAATAACAAATTAATATTTATTAATTAATAAATTAATATTAATTAACAAAATAATATA